TGAGCCCTCCTGGGTGTTACTCGGAATGCCCATACGATGTGTGGGAGCTCTTCCAGCCACTTGTTTCCTGCCTCTCCCAGCCGTTTCTTCAAACCATCTACAATAGTTCTGTTGGCGTTTTCGACTTGGCCATTTCCTTGGGGGTACGCCACCGAAGAGCGATTGTGCTTGATCCCGAAGCCCTCCAAGTATTCGGTGAATCTTGGATTTCGGAATTGTGGGCCGTTGTCGGTGATGAGGTTCATGGGCGCTCCAAACCTCGTGATGATGTTCTTCCAAATGAATTTCTTACATTGCTGCGTGGTGATGTTGGCCAATACTTCGGCCTCGATCCACTTGGTGAAGTAATCGATGGCTACGATCACGAACTTTTTCCCTCCTTGGGCGACTGGGAATGCTCTGATGATGTCAACCCCGAATCTAGCGAATGGGATGACGTTTGATACGAGGTGATAGTAGGTCGCCGGTCTACCAGGATACTTGTAGAATACTTGGCATGTCCTGCATTTCTGAAACGTACCTTTCACAATCCTGGACAATTGTTGGCCAGTAATACCCCAACAAGATGATGCGTTGGGAAAGCGTACGGGACATTTGATGCGCCGCGCATACGCCTTCGTGGACTTCCGCTATGACTCGTTCAGCCTCCCTATTGGTTAGACATCTCAGGAGTGGCCCCCCCAAATGCCCTTTTATACAGCTTTCCATCAAGAACCTGGAATCGGGGTGCCCTGAGCTTCACTTTTCTCGCCCGGTCATCTTGTTCTGGAAAGCTCCCATCCATCAAATATTCCATCAGATCATACATCCAATGGTCGTCCGCCCCGACCAAGTTTGACCGGTCAAATTGGCTTCCGGCCGTTATAGCGGCGACTTCCAATTTTTCGATGCTTGCACGGTCAAGGATCTCTACCCGGGCAAGTTTTGAAACATGCTCGGGAGCATACTGCGTCAATTTGGAGAGAAGGTCTGCATCCGCGTTTTCCGCCCGGGGAATTTGGGCGATTTTGAACTCTTCGAAGCCCTTCAACAGGGCAAGTACAAGGTCCTTGTATTGTGTGCCATGCGTCCTTCCCTTGCTTCCATGTTACCGGTCACTTGCCCAACGATCAGGCTAGAGTCAGATTTGATACTGACCCGGCTGATTTTCAGGGCTTGGGCAAGTCTGAGCCCTCCAGCCAGAGCTTCATATTCTGCCTCATTGTTCGTCAGTTTGAAGTTGAAGACGATTGCATGGTAGATCTTGAACCCTTCTCGGGTGGTGAACACGATACCACCCCCGTATCCTCTAGGACCGGATGCCCCATCAACTGCCATCTCCCACCATTGCTCAGTGGGCTTGTTGACCGGTAAGTCTGGAGTTAGACCGGTCATTTCTACTAGGAAGTCAGCAAGGGCCTGTCCCTTGATTGCCGACCTTGGCCGGTACTCAATGTGGAATTGAGTTAACATCATCGCCCACTTCACCATCCTCCCGGAGGATGTTGAATTTCGCAACACTGCACCCAGCGGTTGGTCAGTCAAGACTTCTACTGGGTGAGCTTGGAAGTAGGATGTCAACTTTTTTGCGGAGATGAAAAGCGCATAGGCTGTCTTCTCCATCGCCGTATA